AGTGTATGTGGCCCCTGCATGTTTGCTTCTGACTGGCCTTGGTTGCCTGATTTGTCTTGGTAATAGCTCAGCTGTTACTATTGCAACTAGCTGCCTAGGCTCAGAATTCGCCTCTGGGCTTTCTGGCCACTGAATCTGATATAATAATGACAGAAATTCATATGTCATTTGGGTATAAATAATATTAAAATTACTTTATGCCATTCTGCCTTATTTAAAAAAAACAGCTAAGGAATTGGATATGATAAAAAATCTGTAACAAAAAGTTAACTTAAAAGGTATAACTCCTAATTGGAACTGTTCTGGAGACCAGCATGTGGTTTGCCACCCCCCTGATTAAGTACAGTTATGTGGGCAGTCACCATTTTGACTAAGGATGGAGAAGAGGAAGGTTATAAGGCTTCACAGACATTGATTAAAGGTGAACCACAAGTCGGGCGTTGGTGGTGCACGCCTTTAATCCCAGCACTCGGGAGGCAGAGGCAGGTGGATCTCTGTGAGTTCGAGGCCAGCCTAGTCTACAAGTGCTAGTTCCAGGACAGGCACCAAAACTACAGAGAAACCCTGTCTTGAAAAAAAATAAAATAAAAAAAAAAAGAGTGAACCACATGGAACAGACCTACCTAGGAGACAACGGGTCTCCAAGATAATTTGGATTAGGATGGATTTCTGTATGATAATTGCTGTCCTGTCCTAAAATCAAGATTTATGAAAGACAGGATTTAAAACAAGGCTGGTTTAATGAGGTAGTTGTTATGCCCAAATCCATGAAGTCCCCCTCCTGGGGCGGGGCGGGGGGCAGCCATGATAAGCTAAGTATGGGCAGGTCACCCAAACAAAGTTCTTTACTTTCAACCATTATCACCTGCCAGAGTAGAACTAGGCTATGGATAAATCTAATAAGAGGCCCGAGTCTCAGTAGTTTACCGAGGCAATACCTGGTTGCAGAAAGAACCACAAACTGAGATTACCTAGCACCACCCAAAACCAGACCATCCAAAGGAAATATCTAACATTCTAACTGCTGTGGATATGACCACCTGCCAGTACACACTCACCAGGACACCCCTAGACAGATGTCAGCCAATCAGGGGTTCTGAACCTCAGAAACCCCTCACCCCCACCTTTACTACTATAAAAACCCAATTCTAGCTGAGCTCGGGGCTCTCTGTTTATTCCAATACATTGGACATGCGGAGAGACTGAGTTTGCAAACTTGATTAAAATAAAGGCTCTTTGCTTTTACATACGGGACTCAGTCTCCTTGTTGGCTTTTGGAGACTTCAAGGTTGGGACATAACAGTATTAAAGCTGCTTCTGCGTGCACTCATGTACAGGGATGTATCTTCCTGGCAGCCAGATTTTGTAACGTAAGGGTAAACCCCTTGGTATTGATTTTAGAGACGCTGAATTGTTTACACTGTTGAAACTGCCTGGACTATAACTCACTATGTAGAACAGGCTGGCCTTTAACTTCGGAGAGCTGGAGTTAAAGATGTGGGCCAGCAGGCCCAGTGAGACCCTGTCTTTAAAATCAAATCAAAACAAACAAAAACAACAACAACAACAACAAAAATACCAAAAGATAGTGAACTCGCAAGATGGGGGGCTTCTTCCTCTCCCTCAGCCTCCAGACTTGATACAAAAGCCAGACAAATGTCTTCTCGGCTTTTTATCGGCGGGCCTCCTGCTGATGGACTGGCTCAACCAGTTCCAGGCCTGGTCAGGACAGGTTAGGAAATGGTTGTGGGCCAATCAACCACCCGCTCTTTCTTCAAACTGACCAATTAAAACTCTTCTGAGACCTCGGCTCTCAAGAAAAGACTGGATTTTCCAGCCTCTGAGTTCTCCCCTCTCCTTTGTAGAAGGCCTTTTTTTCTGTGTATCTGCTGTATTTGTGTGTTCCCTCCCTTCCAATAAACACCCTTCTGTTGTTGTCTGTGTGTTTGAGATCTCTCTACTGCCACACTTGAGATTTTTCCTGCCTTTTAAGTATTTTGCTGGCAGCAAAAATAAAGCCAATCAAGACCCCCTAACCCGTCACACAGGTGTATGGGGGCCAGAGCTACATATCTCTACACATCTTGGTTTTGTTTTTTTTGTTTTTTTTGTTGTTGTTGTTTTGTTCTTTTGGTTTGTTTGTTTGAGGCTCAGTATCCCACTGGGACAGACCTGGGGCTTGACATCTTTGGGTTAGTCTGGGCCAGCAAGCCCCAGAGATCTTTATACTTTGCCTCCCTAGTGCTGGGATTTTACACTCAAACATCCCTTCACCTAGCATTTTACATGCTTGGCTAGCAAGCCCTTTACAGATTGAGCCATCTTCCCAGCCCCTGGGTAATTTTTAGGTAGAAATAGTTAATACTGATTTATTCCAGATTGAATTTCAAAGAGAAATTTGTCTTGGTTTCAGATTCTGAAAACTAATTTTTATATTTATATTTTATTTTATGGATGTTTTGCCTGCATGTATGTCTGTGCAGCATCTGTATGCCTGGTACCCTTGGAGGCCTGTAGAGGGCACCAGATCCCCGGGAACTGGAGTTAGCAGATGCCTGGTACCCAAGTTGTACCCCAAGTCAGGTCCAGCCATCCATCCTCAATAAGCCAACTAAGAGTTCAACTTAAAAGTGGAAAGTGGAAAAAGGTGGTTTATTCCACATGGCACATAGCAAAAAGGGACAAATATATTGAGCAAACTAACCCTCCGGAATGGCCGTAAGGGACAAAACCTTTTGGAATCTATTAACGTAGCGAACCAGTAGCTTCCACCAACCCAGAAACTCAGAAAGCATCGTGGCTCTGTACAAAGCTTCCCCTGCCTCGCTGTACCTCTGTCTCTGACGTAACTTGCTTTGATTCGTGACTTTCTTTGCTCTATTAAAGCCGACAAACTTCTTTAAACAGCTTCCAGGTTGAAACTTGGAATTTGGAGTAACCTAAATATGTTCCCAGGTCATGGTCACTAACAATGACATCGGAATAAACTATCTCTGTTCCCTTCAAGAGGAGAGCTATGGCTTTTGCTCTAGACTTCAGTCTCATCCTGTAAGGAGGTCTAACAAGTTGTTGGCACTCTGTAACATCTCGGTCCGGGAGACAAGCTCTCCCTCTGGCTGGCTGGTCCCTTCTCCCGGCATGAGGTTCCCAGGGAAATTTCCATTTCTTTGGGGACCATTGTTTCAACAATTTGACAGAATGAGAGACACAGGTGTCTCTTTAGAAGATCTTCATTTCTCCCAGGCCTGGTACACTGGACCGTGCTCTTAACCACTGAGCCATGTCTCCATGCCCTGGACGTGAGGTTCGCTCTTTGTTTTGGTGTGTGTGTGTGTGTGTTACATCTGGATATTATACACCATCTAAACACCAAATCAAATTTGTAACACAAAGTGCTTAGTCACTGGAAGCCATAGACCAAGCACCTGATTCTGGGCATTACAACCCAAGAGAAAACTGAGCTGGGGATGCCCCATGGCTTGCTTCAAGCCAAGTTTCCTTGGTAAATTGTGTGTGTGTTACAGATTTCCAAGGCAAAACTGATGTCTACCCTGTTCTAATTGTGGGTATTCATGACGCCTGTCAGTTGGCTGGCTGTTTGTCAGTCCTTCACTTCACAAGTCCCCAGTTACCTCCTCCTCCTCAATCCTCCAGAAACTGCAAGGACCTCCCAGAGTTCAAGTCGGAGATTCTCCTCCAGATCCGTCTCCCATCCACCCGCCCTGTATCCCAGCTGTAACCTCCCTGCCTACCTTCACAGCGACTGCTGCTCCACCCAAGAGACTTCCCCTAAGCACAGATTTAGTTGTTCCAGTCCCTGGAGCCTCACGTGTTTTCCCTGCCCCTGAGGCTGTTCTGTAGTCCCGTTCACCTTGCTAAAGCTTCCGAGTTCCTCACGGCCAGCCCAACCACTAGCTGAAACAGGCTTCCAGCTACCTAGTCTGTCGGTTTGGATCCCTTCCCCCCTTCTCCCACCCCTCCCCCCCCCCCCCCCCCATACAGTAAGATCAAGACTGTTAGTGGTCCCTGTTCTGGTGGAAGATTCACCCCAATCCCTGGCACCTAAAATCTCTGGAATGCTCTGGTGGAAATTCCATTCCAAATCCCCTCTCCCGTCTCTCTCCAAGTCCTGCCACATCTCAGAAAGCCCGCCAAATAACTACCCCCTCCCCCAGAGATGCTCAAGACCTCTTCCACAGAGTATTTAAACTGTCCCCCAGAAAACAGTCACGTGGTTTTCCGGTCTCTATTTCCCATCTCCTCTCTGGGGAACTGGAAAATCATCAGGGAGCGTTTTACTCATTAAACCTGGGCTTTTTCTAATTCGGTTTGATTTGGTCTGTTTTGAACTGCGTCGGGGGAGAGGCTTATTGGGGTGCAGAAACTTCAGTCACCACCTAGCCTGGTCTATTTGAACCAGCTCTCCTCACACTGCTCTCACTTCTGACCTATCACAAACTTCATCTTCCTTGAGGTGGTCCTCCGTAATGTTAGCTGGTACAGACAAGTCAAATAGCATTCTGGAAATACTGACCGTATGAACAAACTTTGGGCTGGAGATCATTGGATTAGAATATATTCTTGATTTACTAGTTACTCTGCGGTCACGACGACTCTACTTAAATCCTTTTTCGCTTTCCTACTCAGATTCTCCTTTGCTCTTTTCACGATACAATCCTCTCTCCCCACAGCAAATCAGTGTTAACTCGGGCTTAAATATAGGCCCTAAGCAGAAAAAAAAATTTCCAGGTACGGTCTGCAGCAGGCGAAAGGACTCCCTCTGTTTGCCAAGACCGTGAGTGGAACTCCAAGGCGCAGGTAGCAACCTCCAGCCCCGCCCCAGCGCACCAAGTCCCCGCACGCCGGGCTAGGACGAAGCGGAAGTACCAAGACCCGCCCTCCGTATAAGACCGCCCTTACTGGCATAGATGGGCAGAGGCCTGATCCAATAAGACGGCAGAGCCGGTCTCCTTCGTCCTATGGGCTGCGACAACACAGAACGTAAGGATTTTCCGGATCCTCGCACGCCTCTCTCTACTTCAGCCGGACTGTGCTGCGTCTGAGAGCACCGTCTGGGCAGGTAAGCATGTTCCGATGCTTGGCGCGCCCGTGGGTGCCGAAGGAGGGTGTCGCTGTACCGAGGCAGAGACCGGGGAAGGCCAGGCTAAGGGCAGGAGGAATGAGCAAATGATACACGGTCGGAGTGGGCGTGGGCCCGGGCCTGGCGGTCCTGCGGGGTCCCCAGGGTCACCTGCAGCGTCCGGTCGTCCGGTCTACCGGCCCAGGCCGTCGCCTTCATTGAGATTCGGGCCGTGGTGGAGCACCGGCCCAGTAGTACATTTTGGTATTACATTTTGGAAGAGGCTCTTGTTGTTGTTGTTTCGTGTTGCTTTATTTTTATATGTGTGGTTATTTGGCTTGCGTGTGTGTGCGCGCGCGCACGCATGCACGCGCACGCGCTGCAAGGTTGCCTGGTGTCCATGGAGGCGAAAAGAAGTCAGACAGATCCCGTGGAAATGGAGTTACAGATGATGTAAGCCGCCATGCACGATGCTGGGAATCAAATTTAGGTCTTCAGTGCTCTTAACCACGGAGTCAGGTCTACACACACACACACACACACACACACACACCTTTTTAAAGAGGCTTTTTTTATTAGTATATGTGTGGGTATGTGCACTTACATGTCTGTTGGGAATCAAATTTAGATCCTTAGTGCTGTTCACCACGGAGCCATGTCTACACACACACACCTTTTTAAAGAGGCTTCTTTTTTTAAAAAATTAGTGTGTGTGTGGGTCTGTGGAAAATGGAAGAGACCAAATGTGTTAGACTGCTGAAGCTGTATGTAGTTGGAGACTGAGTTTCTATGTATGCTCTGAGTATGGAACCAGAGTTTTCTGAAGAGCAGCAAGCGCTCTTAACCCCTGACCCATCTCTCCAACCCTAGTGGTATCATTTTCGACATAGAGAGGTGAAGGGGTGGCTTGTCTGAGGTTTTGTACAGGTTGGCATATGAAAGAGTAAGCCCTGGTGCGGACCAGCCTCCATCCCCAGCACACCAAGTTGTGCGTTAGTGAGAAAGGCAGTCTTTCCACACCATTTCTTCAGAACCTGGGTGCATTTGTGGTCTCCATAGCAACCTTGAGGAACACAACATCCCTCCACTTTGGAGATCCACAGACACAGTCTTGTGTGTGGAGCAGGGCAGTACGGGGGTGGGGATAATAAATCCACTTCCTGTAGAAGTCAAAAACCCTACTGTCTGGAAATCGAGTTGTAAATAACAGTGGAGATTGAGGTGCTGTAGTATGGGTGATTGCACCCAGAGGTGTCGGGGACCCCCTCCTGCACCTTTAATGCGTCTTTGTCAGTTAGCTGTTGTTAGTTCTGGAAACCTCTGTTTCCATGCTGTGAAGTAGGGTTTAATTTTATTATTGCCATGTAATGTTTTTGTGCATGTGGAGGTAGTTCTCCTTCTGTGGATTTTGGGGATGGAATTAATAAGGAAAGGGGTATGTGTGAGTGGATGCCGCCCTGAAAGGCCAGAAGGCTGTGTTGGATCACTTGGAACTGGTTCAAACAGGAGGTTTGAACCGCCTGATGGTGGGTGCTGAAACCAAACTGAGATAGATCTTCTTCAAGAGCAGCAAGTGCTCTTAACTGCAGAGCCATCTCTCCAGTCCTTTATTTTATTTTTTGCACTGGACAGAACTCCTAATGAATCATCTGCTTTTTCCCATCTCCCTCCTGGTTCATGGTCCACACGGTTGAGGGTGGAAACCTTATTGAAGGGGTCATTTTATGCTGGGTTCTACAGACCAGTGAGTGGCATTAGCATTTTGTGCCTTCCTATGTGCTAGGAATCTTCCTGAATTTTCCTATGATTGCGTTATTTCTTACCTTATTTATTTGATTTTTGTGTGTATAGTTGAGCGTGGTTGTGTGGAAGTTAGAGGACAACCTGAGGTGTCCTTTGTCACCTACCTTGTCGACACAGGGTCTCTTGTTCCCTCTTAGTTCATTGGGCTGGCTGACCTTGGAGCTTCTGAGGCGTTTCCTACCTCCATCTCCCATGTTTTATAGTAGGAGAGAAACTTTGTTCTGGAGATTCCCACCCATGTGAGTGGCAAGTGCTTACCCTCCTGTCTACCCAGCCCTCACTAAATAGCAGAACATGCTGTTATGTAGTACATTTCCAAGGCTGTACAGCCACTGTTATTGTGTTATTCCCAAGTATTTTTGTCATGATCCCCAAACCTTAGATCCTCCTCCATGTGTTGGGGTAAAGTGTAGTCCCAGGACCCCCCAACTGAGGTGTCCCCCAAGTGCTCAGGGTTTGCTCCCCACCCATACATGCTGCTGTTTTTATAGTGCTCCCAGCCGCAGGCTCTGGGATCTGCTGCTTAGCCAGAGCCTACTGCCGTGTACAGAGCCACAGTGAACCCAAGCCTTTGCTAGGACCTACACCATGGGCAAAACTGAGGCCAGGCCTAGAAGCCGCTGGAGGAGAGGACAGGCCGAATGTGGGCTGTTGGATCCTCAAACCACACACAAGACCTTAGCTCTTCACATGTGAGAAACTGCCTGACAACAGAGAAAAACCAAGCCTCTCAAAGAATGAAACAAGTAGACCATACCAAGCCCCAGATGTAAAGCAGGGCTTGAGAAACTGTTGGGGGGAGGCCGCTAGTTAGCTCCCCGTCCTCTTAACCCTGAAATAATCACTAACTGTATTGATTAAATCACTGCTTGGCCCGTTACCTCTAGCTTCTTATTGGCTAACTCCTACATATTAATTTAACCCATTTTAGTAGTTTGTGTATCATCACATGGCTGTGGCTTACTGGGTAAAGGTCCCAGTGTCTGTCTCCAGTGGCTCCATGGCTTTTCCCTGACTCTGCCCTCTTTCTCCCAGCATTCAGTTTAGTGGGGCCCCCCCCCCCCGTGCCTACCTCTGTTCTATGCTATCAGGGGTTCAAGACAGTTACTTTATTAACCAGTGGTATTCACCACATATAAAGGGGAATCCCACATCAAGAAACTGCAAACAAACTGGGTTTGCTGGACTTCTGGACCATCCACAAGGAAAGGTTGGGAGCCTAAGGAGTTGAACCTTTGAAAGCACTGTAAAAATAAAATGAGATGGCCTCCTGCTGACCCAAGCAGTAAAGAGTGAAGCCTGAGCTGGTCCCCAGATTATAAAGAACACACTGGCTGATCACCTGGTGGTACTGGGCCTGTACCCCAGCATCTTGGGAGTCCCAGGGGGAGGCTTAGGCCCGGCTGGCCTTGACCTTGGTATATAGCTAATGGTCACCTTGAACTCCTGATCCCTGCCCGTCTTTGAGTACCTGGACAGGGCAGGTATCCACCTGGCAGCTAAGGCTCAGCAGCTGGTGAATGTAGGATGTAGGGTGGGGTAATTTCAAGCACACTTGTTTCTCTCCATTTCCATTTTTATCTCAAGATGCCATAGACTCTAGATTCTTAAATTGCATAGCTTCACAGTAGCTTGTTATGGCAAAATGAAATGCTACTGAAAGCAGCGTTAATTAAAGGAAACTCTGGTGAGCGGAAATAAGGATTATAAATTACTGTGCTCCCGGGCATTTCAATACCCTCCATAGTCATGTGTGATCTTTTCATCATTTAAGATTATAGACTTTGGGGGGCTGGAGAGATGGCTCAGAGGTTAAGAGCACTGACTGCTCTTCCAGAGGTCCCCAGTTCAATTCCCAGCTTCCACATGGTGGCTCGTGGTCATCTATGGTGAGATCTGGTGCCCTCTTCTGGCATGCAAGCATACATGGAAGGAATGTTGTGTACATAATAAATAAATAAATTTTAAAAAAAGATTATAGACTTTGCCAGGTGGTTGGTGGCGCACGCCTTTAATTCCAGCACTGGGAAGGCAGAGGCAGGTGGATCTCTGTGAGTTCAAGGCCAGCCTGGTCTACAGACTGAGTTCCAAGACAGGCTCCAAAGCCACAGAGAAACCCTGTCTCAAAAAACCAAAAAAAGGGGGCTGGAGATGGCTCAGTGGTTAAGAGCATTGCCTGCTCTTCCAAAGGTCCTGAGTTCAATTCCCGGCAACCACATGGTGGCTCACAACCATCTGTAATGAGGTCTGGTGCCCTCTTCTGGCCTGCAGAATCCACACATATACAGAATATTATATACATAATAAATAAATAAATATTTAAAAAAAGATTATAGACTTCAAGCTAGATGCAGTGTTGCACATCTGTAAACACAGCTGTGGGGGGCTGAGGCAGGAAGAATCATGTTTGATACAGGTGTAGAGAATCACCTTCCCCAAAGATTGAAGATTTCAAGCTATATAATGTTTAATCTAATTGGTAATGCTGTCATAAGTAGTTTAGGGGTTTTTTTTGTTTGGTTGGTTAGTTGGTTGGTTTTTGGTTTGTTTGTTTTGATTTGGTTTTGTTTTTTTATGCCGGGGTATAGTCTTGGCTGGCCTGGAACTTGCTCTGGAGACCAGGTGTGTGTGTGTGTGTGTGTGTGTGTGTGTGTGTGTGTGTTCCAAGGGGCGTAGAGAGGAACCGAAGCTAAAGGAACATATTTGAAAGTCGTTGAATGTGGTGACACAGACTGAGTCAGATGTGGCTCCAAAGCTATACACACAGTGAGACTTCACAAAGAGGTAATTTTGCCTGATAGTAATGTAAAGAAACAGCACCGATCATGGGGTCTAAATTAGTCTTTCCAACCAAGGGCAAATGGTGGATCCCAGCTGTCCGTTAACTCCAGTCCTGGGGACCCTGACTCCCTCTGGCCTCCTGGCCGATAGGCATGCATGCACAGGTACACCCATACACATAAAAGAGATAAAACAGGAATAAAGTGAAATAGGTGAAAACATTGTAAGTGGGGGAAAAAAGCAGATACAAAAGGGCATGTATTTTTAGGATAGCGTGTATATGAAATCTTTAGAAGAAGCAAATGGGGTATTTTTTTAATTTAGGTTTCCTAGTAGTCTGTGAGTAGTTGCTATTCTAGTTAACTCAAATGCATTTAATTCATAAAGGAGCTGACTTTTATATTTGCAAGAATAAGAATGACTATGCAGGGCCAGGAGGTGGCTCAGCAGGTAAAAGTGCTTGCTGGACAAGCCTGCAGCCTGCAAGCCTGTGTACCCGAGTTCCACCCTCTGAACCTGGTGGAAGGAGGGAACTGTGGCACGTGTACACCCATATCCACACATGTACACTGTGGCACATGTACACCCATATGCACACATGTACGCTGTGGCACGTGTACACCCATATCCACATGTATACTGTGGCACACATGCACCCATATTCACACATGTACGCTGTGGCACATGTACACACATGTAATAAATAAATCTTTAAGAAAAGACAATATGCTTTCCCTAAATTATCACTTTTACTAAGTGTCAGCTTAGTAAACTAACTGTGTAGAATTCTAACTGTCTGTTTCACATCTATGTCTTCCCTTTTTTTTTTTAACCTACCTTCAAATTAGAAGAGCCGTATATGTTAGCATTCTGGCCCTCCCTCAAGTTTGCTTCCCCACCCTTACATATTTTTCAGCTAGTCTCTTCTGAAGCCCAGGTTGACTTCTCGAGATCAGTTGTCCCAAATCAGGCTTTTGAGCTCCTGGCTCCTGGCTCCTGATACCTCCAGTTACTCACTCCCTGGCCCTAGGTCCTCTGCAGCCCACCTGTCTTGTGAAGTTCCCCTCCTGACTCTACTCGAGTGCTGTTTCTCTAGTTTGTGAGAGTTTGCCTTGCTGTGGTGGCCTCGGCCTCTCTCGTTCCTCTCCTGACCCGTCATCAAGCCTGAGCCCTCCTCATCCTGACCTCCCTGCCTCTCCAGCCTCTTAGGCAGTCCCTTGTACTTGGCTCTGAATGGACCAAACTGTCCACAGGCTCCTCACGTGTCCCCTCCCCCCAGTTGTGTAGCCTGTCCACACAGGGATGTCACTTCTTGCTCTCCTGCTAGGATGTGAGTGGTGTCATGAGGCGGGGGCCACAGCTCTGCCCACTTCCCAGTGCCACGCTCAGTGCCTGGCGCACATCGCTTGTTCTGTAAATATAAAGCACTAAGGAAAACTGGGCAGTGGTGGGGTGCACGCGGGAGGCAGAGACAGGTGGATCTCTGTGAGTTCAAGGCCAGCCTGGTCTACAAAAGCTAGTTCCAGGACAGTTAGGGCTACAGAGAAACCATGTGTCAAAGAAACAAACAAAAAACCCACTAAAGGATACATCCAGCAGAGGGAAACTACCCAGGGTTTAGAGTGAAGCAGGGCTAGAGAGATGTCTTAGTGGTTAAAGCACTGGCTTTAATTTCCAGAGGACCCAGTTTTGATTCCTAGCACCCACATGGCAGCTCATAACTGTAACTCTAGTTCCAGAGCCCTCTTCCTGGCCTCTTTGGGTGTCAGGCACACAAGTGATACCCAGACATAGATACGGACAAAATACCCATACCCATTTGGTATTGAATATCTGTCTCATAAGTGAAGGGAGCTAGAGGTAAAACTCAACAGTAAGAATCAGGACCCTGGATTCAATCCCAAGCACCACAGAATAAGGAGTAAATACATTGGACGGTGGTGGCGCACGCCTTTAATCCCAGCATTTGGGAGCCAGAGGCAGGTGGATCTCTGTGAGTTTGAGGCCAGCCTGGTCTGCAAGAGCTAGTTCCAGGACAGGTTCCAAAGCTACAGAGAAACCTTGTCTCGTAAAACAAAACAGAAAAAAAAGGAAAAGAGTACCTAGCTGCAGGTTTTGTTATTGGTTGTTTTTTTTTTTTAAATTTGATTTGGTTTGGTTTTTGCTCAGCAGTAATTTGCATGAGCCAACTAGGTCAGTAGGTGCTAAGGATAGAAAAAAACATTAGATCTCTTGCCTAGCATGCACAAGGCCCTGAGGTCTCCAGCACTGTAGCTAAACAGAAAAGGAATTCACACCCCAGACAGGAATATATAGCAGTGTTTAAAATGGACAAATACATGCAGATATAAAGCACAGTATGGATCTTGAGTGAACTTGAATTTCAGGAAAACATACTTTTCATCCTTGAACATGAGCTGGGTTTTTGTTTGTTTTCCGTTTTTTTGTTTGTTTGTTTGTTTTGTTTTGTTTGTGTAAGGGGGTGCTTTCTGTTTTTGAGGGTCTTGGTAGGTCAGGCTGATCTTAATCTCCCTGTATAACCCAAAGGATAGATAACCTTCAACATTCGACCCTCCTACTTACCTTGCCGTGTTGGGGATGACAAGAGTACCTACCACCAGGCCTAAGTTTTCTTTTTATTTTATGTGTGGGCGTTCTGCCTGCATGTGTGTCCGTGTACTGTGTGCAGTAGGTGCTGGAAGAAGGCCTTGGTGTGCGTGTAGTAGTCAGGACAACTTGGAGTTGATTCTACCATTGGGTCCTGGTTCAGTCTCCTCATATTTGGTGAGGAGCACCCTTAGCACCCATTTGAGCAGTTCACCAGCCCTCAGCTTTTTCTTGATTTCTGTGTATGTGAGTGTGGGTGCCCTTCGGAGCCAGAAGGAACCTTGGATACTCTGGAGCTGGAGTTCACAAGTGGTTATGAGCCACCCAATATTGGTGCTGGAACTGACCCTCAGTGCTGCAAGAGCAGTGCACGCTCTCATAACTGCTGGGTTCTTTCAAGAGTCTCACTCACTGGGCAGCCTTAGGCTGGCCTTAACTTAGTGACCTCATTGCCTCTGTCTTCCAAGTGCAGGCTTTTGGCCATTCAAAGTCAAGTGCAGGAGTAGGGACTAATTGAGACTCCCCACCTTTGACCCCAAGGATTATTAGTTGCTAATGCAAGAGCAATTTTGCCGAATGCTGGGGTGGGGAAATAAAGACATTAAATTTGCATGTAGATCACTTTTCCAGAGTGTTTCGTGCCTTTCGACTAGAGAGGGAGCCATTAAACGTGAACTAGACATCTGTGATGTCTCCAAGGAAGAATGACATCTAGGTGAGGAGGGCGTCTTGGAAAGACACCGAGAAAGATGTTTCTTTCTTCAAGACGCGTAAGAATTCACACAAAGCCAAGCAGTTGGTGGCACAGGCTCTGAGTTCGAAGCCAGCCTGACCATTCTACAGAGCAAGTTTCAGGACTGACTGCCAGGGCTACACAGAGAAACCCTGTCTAGGGTCGTGGGGGAGGGGGGAGGATGAAAAAGAATTCATACAAGTGTTTGTGGAGAAGATGTGAAAAGAGTTCAGGTATACATGTCTGATCACATCTGTCCTGGTAGGAAGGGGCACTGGGAAAGTGCTGGGGCGGACTTTTTAGGGAAGGCTTGTGTGGCAGCCCCACCAGTGACCATCATGAGCATGGTGGGGCTGCCAGGAGTGGGAGAGCACACGGCTGGGGTGTCTGATGCTCTGCATTTCTCTTCCAGGAGCAGAAATGGGTAGAAGCGTCTGGCAGAGTAGGAGACGACGTGAGCGGAGCCAGCAGAGCCCTGCCTTGGGGCAGAGTGACCCTAGTGAGAGGCAAGTGTCCAGGTCCGGAGCCGGTTTGCCCAGTGCTGCTCTGCTGTCGAGTACAATGCTCTCACACACATGTGCTCGCCTCTCAGAGTGAGTCAGCAGTGAAGCCAGTAGGCTCAAAGCTTGCCGTGTTGCCACCAGCCCACTGCTCCAGAGTGAGGGCACAGCCATGCTCTGTTTCGTGGCGACTGGCTTCTGACCAGAGTGCCAGCCGTGAGACTACTGGTAGTTTTCTTGCACAACTGGAGACCTGCTTTTCCATTTGGAGACGTGGGAGGGGCAAAAAACCTTTCTGGGACTATTATCTAGTGAAAGTCCTGGAAAAGGATTTGTAAAATATGTAGCTAACATGCATGTTGCTTATGTAGATGTATGTAGTGTATAGCATATTTACGTAATATATACAAATCTTTATGTGGACTACAAGGTTTTTTGTTTTTTGGGGGTGTGTGGCTGTCTGTCTGCTGTCTGTCTGTCTGTCTGTCTCTATATAGCTCTGACAGCCCTGGACCTCGCTTTGAAGACCAGACTGTCCTAGAACTCATAGTGCGTGCACCACCACCACCACTTCCACCCCCCACATCTCCCACGCCCCCCGCCTCTGGCACACTGAATCTTCTACACACAAAGATGAGAGCAGTGGCTCCTGTGGGCCCGCTCATCTTAGACTGTAGTTAAGTCCCTGTGTAACATTTTCCACATTTATTATCCTGCATGAAGGAGGTACAAACATCCTTGTCTCAGAACAAGAGCCCCCTGTCCCCACCCGGCCTGGGTGAGGGCTCCCAGGACTTCTGACAGTAGGAAGTCTTCATGCAGCCCTTGAGTTCACGGGTTGCTCCTTCTTTACAGCACACATGCCAGTTACAAATTCTTCCACATGTTAGTCCTTCGTGTGTGTGTGTGTGTGTGTGTGTGTGTGTGTGTGTGCGTGTGTGTGCGTGCGTGCATGCCATGGCATACATGTGAAGGTGAGGGGACAACTTGGGGAATCAGTTCTTTCTTCACCATGTGAGTGAGTCCCAGGGATCTAAAAGGGCTCTGTCCCGCAAGCCACCCTGGCTTAACTGTATAAAAACCTTTAATAAGCTGCCTGGCCCTTGGAGCCCTCAGCACACAGTGGGTCTCATTGGGTGTAAATTTCTAATTTGACCCATACTGTAGAAAGATCAGCATTACACCCAATGTTAGTTTGTTTTGTTAGGAGAGCCATGGATACTTTTTGGGCCACAGGCCTTTCCCACAAGCCAAATTAGGTAGCAAGATTGATCTATGAGAGTCCCAGCCCAGTTTTGGCAGAGTGGCTTGGAAACCAGTTGGGCACAGCCACCTTCTGGGCTCTGGAAAAAAATGGAGCAGCAGTCCTTGGATGAGAAAGACTAACATTTGTCATGACACTTAATTCATCCTCCTGCTGATCACAGATGGGCTGCCTTGGGAAGCTCTGGGCAGAAGAAGGAGAGAACATAATTTTCCTACAGCTGTGCACAGCGTCGGTATTGATAGAACACAGGCTGCTCTTTGCTTCCGTCAGCCCAGCTTTGCAAACTTCCTTTTATTGTGTGTGGGGAGAAGGATTCTCTCAGGATTCTCACCCTGCATTTCAACCTGTCATTGCCACAGAGACCACTAGTGGCTTTACAAATTCAGTGTCTTAGCCATACTTCCATCCTGATGTTATGGAGGAAACTACCTCTGTTCCCAGAATCCCAGTTTCTCCATCTGTAAGGTTGCCTAGCCAGATACAATTAAACTCTTCTGCTGCTGAAGCCAAGAGGAATGAAACTCTTCTGGCTTTGTAAGTGCTGCTGAAGATAGGTAGCCCAGGCAGTAGCATTCTTACTGGCAAAGATTTCTGATTTTCTTTTCATCCTGGAAAATTCCGAAAGACCTCACAACATGCAAAATGCCCAAATGAGCTGGGTGGTGGTGGCGCACACCTTTAATCCCAGCACTAAGGAGGCAGAGGCAGGCGAATCTCTGTAAGTTCGAGGTCAGCCTGGTCTACAAGATCTAGTTCCAAGACAGGCTCCAAAGCTATACAGAAAAAACTCTGTCTCGAAAAACAAAACAAAACAAACAAACAAACAAAAAGCCCAAGTGAGCAGAGAAGGAATTCCTTTAACCAGTGTCATAAGAAGAAAAAGAGGCTGGCCCTTGTTTTAGTGTGTTTGCAGTAGGTATCTGTGCTCCCCAAATAATAACAAAGGTCAGGTCAAGGCCACAGACCTGCTCAAGTAGGACCTACAGTCAGAATGACAGACTGGGCTTGGGAGATGGGCTCGTTTGGGACCCATGTTTAAAAGCCAGGTGTGGCATCATGTGCTTGTACTCCCCATCTAAGGAAGGCAGAGGCAGGCATATCCCTGGGGCTCACCAGCCAGCCCCATCTGCTTTGTGAGTTCCAGGCCAATGAGAGATCCTGTCTCAAAAAGATGGATAGCACCGAAGGATTGACACATAAGACTGTCCTTTGGCCTTCTGGAGCACACACACTCATATTGTCACAACTGTATGCCAACAGGGACACCACAGGGACATCGCAGAGCCCACAAGATTCCAGCCACCATGATGCTGAGGCCCCATCAACCTCATCCAGCAGAGCTGGAGAGTCGTCTGCACCAGGTAAGCAGTAATCTGGGTAGGGCCCCTAGCCTGTTCTCATCCTGCCTCAAAGCAGGCAGTGAGTCTTTTCTGACAACCCTTCCTCAGTCAGGACTTGGATGTGTCTCTTCGCTTGTTGGGGCGTCGGGAGTCCATCCTTGACTTGAGGGAATTCTAAAAGAAAATTGATCTGCTGAAGGAAGGTGCCAGGCGTGGGGAATAATGATTCTGGGGCAAATGGTCTCCCCAGTACAGAACTCAGTGACTGGCTGTGACTCCCTCAACCAGCGGAGCAGACACACAGACTTTATTATTGGGTGCGTCAGTGTTTTAATTTAGTCAATTGATTTCTTTTTCTTAAAGAACTTCCAGGCTTTTATTTTGACCCTGAAAAGAACCGCTACTTCCGTTTACTCCCTGGTCATAACAACTGCAACCCCCTCACGAAGGAGGGCATCTGCCACAAGGAAATGGAGAGCAGGAGGCTGCAGCTGCTGCACCAGGAGGACACGCAGAGAAAGGTGGGCTCTCACCCTTGACGCCCCAGCGCCTGTCCTCCGACAGCACCCACCTGCTACCGAACGCAGGTTGTCAACCAGACACCCTGTGACACTCCGCGAGGGTCTGTCACTGCTGTCAGATACTCCCTGGTGTGGAAATGATGAGGAAACCCCATTTACTTTTTTTTCTTACTTTTTATTGTTTTTATTGAACTATTTATTTTTCTCCACTCCCCTCCCTTCTCCTCTTCCATGATCCCCACGCTCCCAATTTACTCAGGAGATCTTGTCTTTTTTTACTTCCCATGTAGAGTAGATCCATGTATCTTAGGGTCCTCTTTGTTGCCCTGCTCCCTTTTCTGTTTGCTGACATAGACGGTGGCATCTGGCCTTGCTCTACACATCAACCTGTTGCCTATCAGTGAACCTAGACAGGCGTGGCACAGACTCTCCACCACAACCCACAGGACTGCCTTGGGCTTGGTTTTTCTTCCTGCCAATGAGAGGAGATTTTTGAGAGAATACCGTCAAATTTTATTCACTGAATTTCTTTCCATTACCTGTTTCCTCACTGTGTCCTGTGGAACTCAATACCCCTGTTACCCATACCACAGCACAGATAATCTTGAGTGGCTTTTTGTTTTTGTTTTTTGGGCAAGGTCTCATAACCCACACTGGTCTTGAAAGTACTATGTGTCCAGGGATGACTTTGAACTGGTGTCTAGGATCCAGCTCCCCAGTGCTAGAACTTCAGGTCTGCGCCACCATGGCTGCCTTCACTGAATCTTCCTTTTGTTTTTTGTTTTGTTTTTTTCAATAAACTTAGAAAATCACCAGAGTGGGATTTAACGCATCCTCCATCCTACGGAAAAACCAGCTGGGTCTTCTCAACATAAGCAGTTATTGCCGGTAAGACGATGCCCTATTGACTTGAATGTTCTCTCCTGTCCTTATCTCTGTAGCCCCCCTTCTGCTACTCTGTGAGAAGTCTTCGTAACTGAGCTCTTCAGCTCGCTGGCTACTTTCTACATCTTTTTGGTTCTTCAAGACAAGTTTCTCTATGTAGCCCTGACTGTCCTGGAACTAGCTCTGTAGACCAAACTGGCCTCGAACTCACAGAAATCCCCCTGCCTCTTGCCTCTCAAGTGCTGGGATCAGAGGCATGCACCTTTACTGTCTGCCTGAACTCAGATACAGAACTCAGGATACAGATTCCCTGGGACTGGAGTTACAAACAGTTGCGAATTGCTGGGAATTGAACCCGAGCAATCTTTCCTCAGCCCCTCTGGGCTTGATCTCAGCCCTAACCCTGGTTTTATGGATCACACAAATCCTCTCTCTTCAGCTCTGCCTTCTACATCTTTTTTGGTTTTTTTCGAGACAGGGTTTCTCTGTGGCTTTGGAGCCTGTCCTGGAACTAGCTCGTATAGACCAGACTGGCCTCAGACTCAGAGATCCACCTGCCTCTGCCTCCCGAGTGCTGGGCTTACAGGCGTGCACCACTACCGTCCTGCTGCCTTCTACATCTTAAGCAGCTCAGAGTAACTGCTTCTCTCCTCAACAAGGGGTGGAGACTTCATTCCATGTATGGTGACACATACGGCATTGAGTGTGTACCGACTTCATCAGAATGCTTGTGATGGGAGGCCAGAATGTAGCTTAGTGTAGAGTTGTGCTTATCCACATGTCTGATTCAGTCTCCCAGCATTTCCAAGAACTGTATTTTTGTGGTGGCTGCCACAGCTCTCACTAGATCTGGTAAGATAAATTGATAACTCCCTCCCATTTTCTAAAGAGGAAATTGAAGTTCAGAGTGGAGAGACTTGCTCCAGATAAAAACAGAAACAGCCCCTGATCCTAACCCCTACACACTTCTACCTCTCCATGCATGTTAGGGAGCCCAGTGCCCGCCTCAGGGAAGGCCGGCCGTGCAGGGGCAGCACACAGCCTCCAAGTCTATGCAGAAACAGCTTCTGCTTGAACTGGAGAGGAAAGGGGCAGAGAGGTGGGTGGCTGCACCCCTCAGCAGCGTGTTCATCTCCCAGGCACAGCCTCATCATCCTAAGAGAGCCTGTACTCAGTGACTGAGCAGATCCCTCCAGAGTCCAGCTAGCTTTATGATTTGGGGAGGGTCACTCAGTTGTTTAGCTGTCGTTAGCATTCTGTGTGAGAAATGATGTGGAGAAGAGTGTGGGAAAATGCAGAGACCCAGGTGTTCGCCTTTTTTTATCAATTGCTGAGACATGACCTCCTTGCTGTGTTGCCTAGACTGGCCTTAAAATTCTCAAATCATCTGCCTGACCTCTGAGTTCGAAGCCAGCCTGATCTACAGAGCGAGTTCCAGGACATCCAGGGCTACACAGAAAAACTGTCTAAAAAAAAAATTAGGATGGAGAGATGGCTCAGAGTTTAAAAGCACTGGCTGCTCTTCTAGAAGTCCTGAGTTCAATTCCCAGAAACCATCTGGTGGCTCACAGCCATCTGTAATGGGGTCTGATGCCCTGTTCTGGCATACACGCAGATAGAGCACCATATACATAAAATAAAAAATCTTAAAAAAAAAAAAGTCATCTTTCCTCGGAGGTGATTCTACAGAAGTGTACCCAGCATCAGACTGGGGGGTCTGGCTGTGGTGTCCATGCCCTCCCTGCATTTCTGTTTCCCTCTTCAGTTTGTCCCATGAGCTGCGGGTGAGCTGCATGGAGAGGAAAAAGGTAGAGATTCAGAGCTCAGACCCTTCTGCTCTGGCAAGTGACCGGTTTAACTTCATCCTGGTAAGTGACACGTGTCTGTGTGTGCTCAGGAACATCTGCCACCCCTGGCTTATTGTGAGTGTTCACTAAGTCTGGCTAATTCTGTATGTGTGTGTATATTACTCACTCTTTAGTCCTGTCTCATGACATAAAGCCTGGGTCTAGCCACATGCTAAGAACAGAGGATCTTTTTTCTCCCTTGTTGTGGTGTGTGCAGCTGAAAAGGTGCACAGTGTGGGCAGGATCAATGTGCCAGCGGCTGCAGCACAGTGGGTTTCTTTGCTCAGTGCCCGTGACCATGGTGGCAGGACCCTATGTATATACCTCCATCACATCGATTGTAGGGAGTGGAAGGTCTCTATTTACTGAGACCTGGGCTGGATGGAAAGTAAGACCAACTACTAGAGTCTGAGGACAGTGAAATATTGTCAGGGAGCCAGAGTGTACCCTGCACATAAAGGATCCTCCCCTTTCTGTGTCCTCCTGAGTGCATGTCTCCTTCCTGGAGACCAAGGGGCAGCCTGGGAAAGTGAGACTAGGCCATGGAAGTAGTGATCTGCTAGCGGGATAGGAGACCAAAGCCTCGGAGTGACCCTTGAGGCTGATGTTGAGACCTCCTATCCATGAAAGGAGTCCTGGGGTCAGGCCCCGATTTTCCACTGCTGCAGCCCTTCTAATGGCATTGTGATTCGAATGTGTAGATACTTGGCTGCAGTGGGTCCTCGTGTGCCCCTCCCTGGCACTCCCTGGTGCCTTTGATAGAGCAGTCTCCCGGTCACCCAGCATCACGTTCAACTGGCTTATGGCCAGAGGACTGGGAAGGCAGTTTTCTACATTTGACTCTCCGCTAGTAGGTTCATCCAGGCGTGTTAACTCTTCAAGCTTGCAGAGTAGGGGGAATTTCACCTATGTGAATGTGTGTGTGTGCATGCATGTATACTTGTGCACACAAGCACATGGTTATATATATTTTTTTAAAAAGATAAATATGAAGATTTTAGTTTGAAATAACTGTTGTATTTTGTTTAGCGTTAGTTCTATTAGCAGGGGAGTTTGGGGGCTTTGAGGGACAAAGGAACTGTGTGCCACAGGCTGGCCTCTAACTCGGTTCTCCTGCTTTAGTTAGCTTCCTAAGTGTCGGTACTACAGGCACTGTGTTTTATTTTTAAATTAAATAGAGCAGGATCTCCCTATGTAGCTGAGAGGTTCATGATAGAACTCAACAGTTCTCCATGGCCTTCATGGTGGGATGTGGTATAGTCCTCTGGGCCAACATTAAGATCCTCCCAGACTCAGTTCTGAGGTGCTCACTAAGGGCACGAGACTTCCTGGCCACATGTTCTCTTTACCATCTTCATCCATGTGTCAGAAATGGCAGGGCAGACTCTGGGCTTTGCTTGAAATCACTTAAGTTAGGTCCCTGCCATATTCCCTCATGGAGAGGCGCTTAGGCAGCCGCATGGCTCAGCCTGGGAGATCACTTATAGCCTGTTTCCCTCCAGGCAGATACTAGCAGCGACCGCCTCTTCACAGTGAATGATGTCAAAATTGGAGGCTCCAAGTATGGCATCATCAACCTGCAGGGTCTGAAGGCCCCCACGTTCAAGGTGCACATGCATGAGAACCTCTACTTCACCAACAGGAAGGTAGGTCCTGCCGCTCCAGCCTTGCAGTTTGCTTGCCTTTTGGGCCTAGGGCCCTGCTGTAGTTACCTACATTCAGAGAGGGAAAGGAGCTTTATGAAGAATGCAGGAAGAGCTGTCTCACCTTTCTGAGGGACAAATGGCTTGTTAGTGCCTGAGAGCCCACAAGAAAAGGAAAGCCCAGAGCATCTTCAGTTGGGAGAGAAATCTAGTTGAGATGGATGGGGTGTGTGCCTTCACTGGCCATCGGGGTGTTCTTTTCTAAAGGATCAGAACTGATGTGAAGGGGCGTGGTCCCTGGAATGTGGGCTGCAGTGATCGTAGCCTGAATGGGCATCACACATGTCAGGTGCTCTCTGGCCAATAGCAACTTTTAAATTGCATCCAAGAGGCTGTGGCTACCTGTTCAACAGGGACATGAGCCACAAGGTTGAAAATGACTCGGGGAGCCAGGTGTAGTAGCTAGAATCTCAGTGCACAAGATGGCTGAGACTGGAGGGTTGCCGTTTGCTTGCAGTTGGCCTGAGCTACACAGTGAGCCTAGCTATATTTTCTTTCCTGTCTCAGAGGAGGCAGAGAAAGGAACGAAAGAAAGAAACCCCTGCTGGGTGAAGCAGGACACAGCACAACTTTGGTTAAGAGTAAACTCATCTCCTGACCCTGTAAATTAGATTAGAAAATGCAGGTCTGCCTTAGGGGTAGGGGTGTCAGATACCTTAGCATGGGACCCTCCCTGGTGTGCAAGGGTTGAAGAAGTTTGCTTCCTTCCTGTACCTAAGTCCCAACATGTCTGAACAGGGAGTCCCACTGTCCTCAGGATGTTTCTTCCAGCCTATTTTAAGAGCAAAACCTGAAAAAAGAAATCACATGTCAACCTCTCTAATGCTATAACCCTTTTTAATACATGTCCTTATGTTATACATGTCCTTATGTTTTAATGCATGTCCTTATGTTGGTTAACCCAACCATAAAGTTATTTTGTTGATATTTCATAAGTATAATTTTGCTATTATGAATCATAATGTAAATATCTGATATGTGAGATATCTGGTATGTGACCCCTGTGAAAGGACCACTTGACAGCCCTCCTAAAGGGGTCGTGACTCCCAGGTTCAGAACCTCTGGATTGAGGGTTAACTGAGTAGTAAAGTGCTTGCCTAGTGTGTTCAAAGCTTTGAGTTTAGTCTCAGTGCTGCAGGGGGCAGCTGGTAGGGTCATGTGTTCCTTTTTTAATTTTAAGGGGTGTGTATGTATGCATGCATATACATGCACATACATGTGCACATGTGTCTGTGTGTGTCCAGAAGACACTGGATCTCCTGGAGCTGAAGTTACTGGGTGTGGTACCAGGACCCAAACTCAGATCGTCTTGCTATCTGGAGAGATAGCAAGTGCTGTGCTATCTCTCCAGCCCCTAAAAGCCATTTTCTATAAAAGCATTTGACCATTATTCCCACAAGTGGCAGTCAACCTAGTCTTTCTCTCTCCCTGCTTCTTCTCCAGGTGAACTCTGTGTGCTGGGCTTCACTCAGTCACTTGGATTCCCACATCCTGTATCCTTTAATCCGTGATGGGTCTAGTGCACAACTACAACCTGGTATGGACCTAAGCATCTGTGGAGATGGCAGAGGGGGAATGTTCTGTACCCTTGTATATCACTTTTTAGACAAAGACTATACCTAGGTCCAGAGCAACTGAAGTTCAGAGTTGACTGTTGACTGAATGTCACCTATGTGCCAGGCATCTGGGACTTGGTATGTAACTTCTAGAAATAGCATTGGACCCCAGGAAGCCTAACTCCAGACCCTGCCTGCTCTACCACTGACATACAGTCTTGGGCTCTTGGGTCACCAGGTAGACCCAGCATCCCTGCCAGGGGTGTCAGTGCTTTGGTGAAGAAAAGGGGATTAGCGCAGTCCTAAGGTGGTACCCAGCTGTGAGGCCGAACACTGAGGAAGACAGTGAGGGAAGTGCTTTGTTATTGTTTTGGTTTGTTTGTTTGTTTTTGTTTTTTTGAAACAAGGTTTCTTTGTAGCTTTGGAGCCTGTCCTGGAACTAGTTCTTGTAGACCAGTCTGGCCTAGAACTCACAGAGATCTGCCTGCCTTTGCCTCCTGAGTGCTAGGATTAAAGGCATGCATCACCACCGCCTGGCAAGAGAAGTATTTGACACTGAGCACAAGACTATATCTCAGACCTGTGCCCTTAGAACACATTGGTTTCTGGCCTCTCAGCAAGCCAATAGGGCTTTGCTCTGGAAACACAGTAACCTACTGGGATTGCCACCTGGGCTTTCTCTGTAAGATTTAACAGACACTTGTCATTATTCATTCCATAGCTGATGAGATCTTAAGCCTATGTGCTGCCATTGAACTTGAGACTTAGTTCCTCCTGTGCACAGGCAAATACATGTGCAGACATGTTACACCCTAGCCTCCAACAAACTCGCTTCACTCTGAAAACCCTGGTTCTCTGGTAGAAGACAGGAAACAGATTTCCAGGGACTAGGAGCTCTTAACTGTGACATGTGTGTGACATTATGTTCCTGAAGAAACTGAGACCGGATGTGGGGAATGTCAAAAACGCTGTATCTGGACTTCCCACCTTACTGTCTTATAATTCCCTGAAACATACTGATGGCCATTTTCTCCCAGAGGAGACCCAGTCTATACTGGCCTGTCCTTAACAGATTTTTTTTCAGACTGTGCCTCATGGGCCTTGCAGAGACACCAGGCTGTGCCACCCTGCTCCCAGCATCACTGTTTGTCAGTACTCACCAAGGTATGACAAAGTCCTTTCCTTTGTCTTGAGAAAGGCCTGTGTCCTCTGTCTCCCTGGGGATCTAAGCTGGGTGACCCCAGTTCAGCACATGGGATGGGACAGGCTGTGGGAGGGTTCCCAGAGCCTGCCCCAGGAAGTGCATTTTAGAGTTTGCTGCTTTTTATAAAGCCTTTGAGGTCATTTCAGCAACAGAGCAAAGTACCCATGATAAAGTTCACATGACCAGCCAGCACAAGATGTCAGGACACTGGGTTGAGCTGCCAGTGGCATCCATTCAGAGGGCGTTGGTTAAGTTTCCAAGTGTGGTAGCCGTGCTGGCTGGCTGGAAGCAGTTTGACTGCTCCTTCTGGCAGACCTCTGCGTGTGTGCGGTTTGCAGACATCAGGCAGAGCTGGCCCAAAGCACAACTACCCCATTCCTACATTCAAGCACATTGCTTGACCTCTGAGATGAAGGCAGTGCCTACCCCAGCAGGTTTCTCGTGGAAGTAGATGAGGCCATGAACATTTAGCCCTGTTGGGATCTCGCTGCCCAACAGATTTGTGGGGCATGTATCTTACCACTTTACAGAGGAGGAGACGGAGATAAAGAACGGGCCAAATTTGGCTCCACAGAACTAGTTTTTCAGTATTAGAAGTCTTGATATTAATTCCCTTAGGGAATGATATGAAGTAAGTGTAGAAATCGGAAAGGGAAGTGGGGGAGCCTTCTGGGATGCTGGTGTGTCTTAGCTCCTAGTTGGAGTGGTGAGCACGTGGTTGGATTTCCTTCCCCCTTGAGATGTCTGTCAGTTCAAAGTTCTCATTGTTGGAGCACGCTGTTGGTGTTAGGACAAGGATTGAAGCCGCATTTCCTGTGACACCACACCACCCTGTGACAGCTGTTAGCACTGTGAATGCCCCCAAATCATTCTCTAGTTACCACAAAATCCAGTAAAGGTCCCGGTCTTGGTCCTAGAGTTCTGGAGGCTGGGAATTCCAGCAGCACGTGCCAGCCTCTGGGGAGGGCAATCCATTAAGTGCTGATGTCTTTCTACTGTAAATCCACCATTACCACTGTGGAGGCCCATCTGCATGACCTCACCAGCTCCTCATCACTTCCCAAAGGCTCCATCCCTGAAATTCTATAGCATTTGACTTGGGGTGGTTGTTGCAAATCTGGACTCTGGGACCACAGCTGGCCTCTGAACAGCTTCTCCCAGTGATGTCCCAGATCTGGCGGTTGCTAGCCTGGTAACATGGAGACACGTTCCTGAGCCTACATGGCAGCCCTGTTTTCCTTTACAGGTACAGACCAGCCTGGCATGCTCTGCAGTTTCCGGATCCCTGGTGCCTGGTCCTGTGCCTGGTCCCAGAACACCCAGGTAGATAACTGCTTCAGTACAGGTGAGCCCTGGCCACAGCCCTGGGTGTTGAGTAGAGAACTCCACAGAACTGAAGGTCCCACCCAGCGGTCCTCTCCCTAGACTGCGAGCATCTCTGACCTCTGGGACCCATTTCTTGTCTCCACAAGGTTTGTCTCGGAGGGTCCTGTTGACCAACGTGGTGACAGGACACCGGCAGTCATATGGGACCAACAGCGATGTCTTGGCTCAGCAATTTGCAATGAAGGTTGGTTGGATCAGGAAAGGTATAATAGAACATCCCTAGATTGAAATGTTTGTGGGAGTCAAACTGGGTTTCCCTGGTGTAGCATCTGGGCGGCTGCTTTCACAAGAAAAAAGGCATGAGAATGATCAGTGGGTACTTTGTTGTTTTGTTTGTTTGTTTGTTTGTGGTTTTTTTATTGGTTGGTTGGCTGGTTTGATTTGGTTTGGTTTACTTGAGACAGAATCTCACTATGTAGCCATGGCTGGCCTGGAACTCACTTGTAGGCCAACCAAGTTATCTTAGAATTTAGAGATCCCTGTGTCTCAGCCTACAGAGTCCTGAGATTAAAGGTGTGTGTGCCACCATCCCCAGCAGGGTTGGTTTGTTTGCTTGCTTTATCGAGACAGGGCTTCTCTGTGTAGCCTTTGCTGTCCTGTAATTCACTCTGTAGACCAGGCTAGCCTCGAACTGGCAGATTTCTGAATCTATAGAGCAAGTTCCAGGACAGTCAGGGCTACGTAGAAATACCCTTGTCTCAAAGAAAGAAAGAGGGAGGGAGGAATAGAGGGAGGGAGGAAGAAGGAGAAGCCTGAGGGGACAGTGGAGCTACCTGCAAGCACTTAGAGGCTCACCACAAGGTGGACACTGACAGAAACACTCACAAGAACGCAGCCTCCCTTCTAAGTCCATTGAGACCCAAACTCCTACCAACCCTAATGCCAGGCAGGACACACCCTTCCATCCTTAGGAGCAGGTGGTAAAAACTGGGCACTGACCCTCTCTCCACAGACTCCCATACTGTTTAATGGCTGTCGTTCTGGGGAGATCTTTGCCATTGACCTACGTTCTCCAAGTCAAGCCAAAGGCTGGAAGGCCGCCCACATTTTCCATGACTCAGCAGTGACCTCTGTGCGGGTCCTCAAGGAAGAACAATACCTGATGGCATCAGACATGGCTGGAAAGGTAGGCAGTCCTGACTGCAGGCCTCTAAGAGACCCTGGTACCAAGACACCAGGGTGGGGCTATCCTAAGTTCTTTTGCTGCTCCACATGAGCTGAATTTTGCCTAGATAGAAGTGTAGAAGCGGCTAGGGCTGCTGGAGAGAGCACTAGCTGCTGTTCCAGAGGTCCTGAGTTCAATTCTCAACAACCACATGGTGGCTCACAACCATCTGCAATGAGATCTGGTGTCCTCTTCTGGCATGCAGGAGTAACATTGTATACATAATAAATAAATTTTAAAAAAAAATAAAGTGCAGAAGGGCCTCTGTCATTTGATGAACTCAAGCTTTATGAGTTAGAGGCCTCAGTCTCCATATTCTGAAAAGGCCACTGAAGATCACCTCATCCTCCCAGCTACATACCTGGTAGTAGCTGAGTTCCTGCTAGGCCCTTCCCAAGTAACCCTTGTGCTTTCTCTCCCAGATCAAGCTATGGGACATGAGGGCCTCTAAATGTGTGCGGCAGTATGAAGGTCACGTGAATGAGTATGCCTACCTGCCCCTGCATGTGCACGAGGAGGAAGGAATTCTGGTGGCAGGTGTGTGGGGAACGGGAGATTCCACCCAGTAAATGCTCTCTGTGAGGGCTCTCGCCCGCCCCTTAAACAGCAGAGGGAAAAGTGGTAAAACTAGCACCGAATAATAGGAATTAGGGGCCACTGACAGCATCACCTCAGAAACAGGCAAGTGATGAAGATCAAAACACAGCAGCTGGGGGCGGAGCTGGAGGTCAGGCCTCTGAGTCACAGGATTCCATCAGGCATCATCTTGTCCAAATACTGCCCATCCTGCTCACATTCCTGTCAGAGGATGCTGAGATCCTGGCCTTTTAACGTTACCCATGATCTACAGGGAACTGCAGCTGTCTGGCCACTTCAGCCCTGAGTTAAAGTAACTAAAGATCGTACTATTTCCAGGCCACAGCACAAAAATCAGTGTTCCTGTGTATGGAACTGTAGGCCCTTGACATGTTCTCAGTCTTCTTGAAGGCTCACGTGTGCTAATGTCCCTACAGACAGCACGCATTCCCTGTTAAATTCTTGGCTAAGCAGCATCACAGTGCTAGAACTTCAGATGTATGGAAGATAAGCCTTGCTGAGAGCCAGGCACAGGTGTCTGCATGGCTTCCAAGTGCATCCTCTGCTGAGGCACACTATGGGTCTACAGTCACTAAGTGCCCAATTGAAATACGATTGTTGAAGCCCCCACAGATCTCTAGGAGCACAGAGCATCTGGGCTGCCACAACCCATGGTGTCCCATGCCACATTGCTCAGAACTAGGAGTCCTGCAGACTTAACTAATTCTTCAACCAGAAATAGTGTCATCTGCTCTGCCAGGATGTAACAAAGTTGAGAGATCTTCCTGGTTAGTTCATCAAAAGGAACCCAGCTGCCTGGCACTAGATCAGGTGGGCTGGACTCCCCACTTGAGAAGAATCCCTACCCATGAGCCAGGGTGTCGGCTGAGCCATTGCTGTGTGACAGCCAGCCAGTGTATCCTTGTTATTCTGAACACCTGCAGCTAGTTAGGGTTCTGGAGCAACAGACTGACTCATGGTCTTAATTTTAAGAATAGATTAGCAGAAATACCTCCCACCAGTGGGTTTGTGTTTGGGCCTGAGAGGTCCTAAGAGCGTGACTACATGTCTTTGCATTCTCTGACCTGCTGTGTTGTCCCTCTTTCCTAGTGGGCCAAGACTGCTACACAAGAATCTGGAGCCTCCATGATGCCCAGCTGCTCAGAACCATACCTTCCCCGTCCCCCACCTCCAAGGCCAACATTCCTAGTGTGGCCTTTTCTCCTCGCCTTGGGGGTCCCCGGGGATCCCCAGGGCTGCTCATGGCCGTCCAGCAGGACCTTTACTGTTTCTCCTATAGCTCATCCTATCCAAGCGATCTGGAGGAAGGCAGGTGGAAGTGAATGGCAGCTTCCGTTTCTAGTGAGGACTTTTTAAATGGTGCTTGATGTATTCAGATGGTATTCTAGCTTGTGGGCAGTGCAAAATGGTTGACTTGGGGGGCTGGAGTGATGACTCAGCTGTTCAGAGCATTGGCTGCTCTTCCAGAGGACCTGGGTTCGACTCCCAGCACCCACATGGCAGCCCACAACCGTCTTCAACTCCAGTTCCAGAGAAGCCAACACCCTCTTCTTCCCCTGGACCAGGCATGCATGTGTAGGCAACATGCAGGCAAAATACCCATACACATAAAGCAAAGTATAGTTTTATTCCAAGCAGCATATTTGGAATAACTTCGGTAAAGCGCAGTTAAATTGTGGCCCCGGAGCATGAAATGAAAGGCCTTGTCATGGGAGGTATTTACGGGCTTTTCCTATTGAGTTCCTTAGACACTTCACCCCTTCGCTGGCAAAGCAGACCCTATGGAATGAAGATTGGCAAAACAAAATTAAAACTGCTGCTTTCACCAGGAACACCCAGTGGTGGAGACTACCTGAGTGGTCATTGCTGCATGAATCCTGGAGCAAGGCAGGGGGGTACAAAGGGAGCGGCGGGCATGGCTTTCTTTCTGAGGACTCACCAGCTTTGAAGCCATTACACGCTGCCTTCTCAGACAGTGACTGAGTCCTGGAGTCTTTTGTTACTGTGCAAGGCATTGGAAGGGGAAGATGAAGCTTTTCAAGTGCTCTGGCTCCAATCCTCGTGCCTTCTTGAGGATAGAAGGGACAGCAGCTTCTGTTACAGTGACTTGAGTGTCAGTTCTAAAGCCCAAGACCAAATTTGACTTTTTTATAATCTTGGAACTGCAGTTTATGAATATTTATAGTGTTAAAGTCCTTTCTACCAACCAATAATAAAGTAAAAAGAAGTGTTTGTGATATGTTGTTTCTGCATCTGAATCAGCTCTTCCCCTTAAAGCTGGGGAAGCATGGGTCTGCTTAAGGAAATCCCTACTGGGCCTGCCAAGGTGGGCAGAGACCGAGGCCAGCTTTAATAGCTTGCTGGAGCCCAGGTTGTTCTCTGACTCCACTGCCGTGCTCTGCTTATGCACCAGGAGTCTGCTCTCTAGACCTCTCCAACCTCCTTGTCCCCAGCAATGGAGCAGTGGTGTTTCTGGCTCCATCTTGTTTGTGTAGCCCAGGGTAGCCTTGAACTCAGAGATCCATGGGCCTCTGTCTCCCGAGTCCTAGGGTTAAAGGTGTGTGCCACCACACCCTGGTCTGTACAGCTGGCTAGTGTGCCCTCTGATCGCCAGGCAAGCTTTATTTACTAAAGCACAAATGTGCCACTATATCTGGCTCCCTTCCTGTTGGGACTATGAGTGTCTGTGACCAGAGGCCTTGGCCTTTACTGGAACACAGCTCTCTATGTCCTAATGACTATTCTATTTGTCTCAAACATGGCAGGCACAAGGCTCCCCAATTAAGCAATTACCCATTGAGTATTCTTTTTCCCAAGAACCCTAATATAAATAACTTATCCTTAGTATCTCACATTTTATCTGATCCCTGTAACAATTCATAAAGGAGAGGGAATAAATAGCATATCAGTGTCATCTTACAGAGGAAGCCAGGGTCCAGGCCCCGGGGGACGGCATGTGCTCACAAGGCACTGGCCTCTGGTAAAAAGCTGTTGCAGTTTTAACTCCTCTTCAAGAAATCCGTACCTGAGCAAAGACACAAAGATGATAGAGCCCAGCAGCCTGCGAAGTCCAGGCTCTTAGGATAGAACTGTGGGGTGGGGGTGTCTAAAGGATAAAGGAGCAGCTCAGGGGACTGCAGTGGCTAAGCTCACTCAGCCAGCACCAAGCAGCGTGTGTTCTGTTGATTACAGACCATCAGGCTGCTCAGGTCACATGTAGTGCCTGGATCCATGACAAATACATGGGGGAGCGTGGCAACAGAAGCTCACCAAGGGTAGACTACATACGGTATATATTAGAAACAGCAAATGGAGCTAGTTCCACTAACAAGAATATAAATGCTTCAGGCACAGAACCAATTTCCTCCCTGAAGATGATTCTAAGTTGGAAAGACAAACATGGTTGCACAATTAGCATTACAACAGGACCTTACATTTTCTTTTTTTGTTTTTTAAACAACACCTGGAAGCCTGTCTTTGTGTTCCCAACTAGAACAATCCTTTAACCTCTGAGCCAGTTGCTGGCATAGAGAAACATTACTGTTGTCACATGCCATGAACCTCAAAAATGGGAAAGGTTAGACTGCCAAGCCCTCCTGATCATAATGGAGAGAGTGGCTTTTAAACTGTCCTCCTAAGGAAAAGGTACTGACCTTACTGGAAATGCAAAGGGAAGGAAAACATACAGAAGCAGTCGCTTTGGCCCCACCCCTAAGGGCTTGGTTACTGACACCAGGGGGCGGATCTGCACTTCGGAACCTGAGCAGCTGTGAAACAGGAGCACCATCAGGCAGCGGTGGCTGGCGCACACCTTTAATCCCGGCCACGGGGAGGGGGGGGGAGGCGGATCTCTGTGAGTTCAAGGCTACAGAGAAACCCTGTCTCAAAAAACCAAAACCAGCAAACCCCTGAGCACCATCACCCACCTTCCAGGCCGGTTGGGGAACGCAGCCAAAGCTCACACAACACCTGGCAGTGCAGCAGGCAACTAAATGGTTTTCCAACTCCCAGTAAGCGTACCAGCTGAGAAAGCCAGGAGATAAGGGTCCCACCAGGCCACTGCTGAGGAGACTGCTTAGCCACAATTAGCCTCCTAATCACGGTGCTCATGTTGAGCGACCATCCTCACCTATAAGCCCGGATGAAGGACCCAGTGAGGAAGTGACCTGTGCAGCTGGGGTCAGGGGTCATCTGTGAGGGACGGGCTGTTCCTGGACTGCAGCCATGCTGTTTCTTAATCAGGGTGCTAGTCGGATTTGTGGCATCCAGCTGAAGAGAATGAATCAAGCTGAGAGGTTCGATGCTTGAGGAAGTTTCTGCAGGCCCTGTTTTCAGCCTACATTTAGCTAGCAACCCCCTCCCTAGCTGAGGCTGGGATTCCATTTGTTTGTTTCTTTGGCCAAGAAAAGAGCCCCTTTCTGATGCCAAGGTGCTTCCTCTCCTCCCCTGGACTCAACATCACAAAGAAGTTTTGCAGATCTGTAAGATCTTCTGTAAGAAGATCCTGAAATAGGCGGAGGCTAGAAATGACCCCACCACATTGTTAGCAGGATTCACACTCAGGTACCCTAGCAATGACAGAACAACAGGGTCTTACACAGCCAATGTTCACCTCTCTTCCCAAAAATAAGAGAAGGCACAGGGAAAGGAAAAGCTGCGGGCCAGTGTCAGAGTAACAAAGGGACACGACACCACAATGGGTGGCAGGAAGTAGAGGCTCGGAGGGGCAGCCAAGTGGTAAGCACATGCCTGGGACATACAAGGCCCACTGAGGCCCAGAACCACAGTTTCCCACTGGCTCCGTAGCCCACTGACCCTCATTTGTAGTTTGGGTGTAGTAATGCCCAAACTACACCATGACACAACCGAGACGGGAAGCTCAGACCAAACAGCTGGTGCCAAGCTACAAACCGCCAACTCAGCACGCCAGCCATGTTTGGCCTGGCAGCTGCTGTCCTTAGCTCTCAGTTCCCACCCCTCCATGTCGGAGTCTGAAGAAGAATGTCAGTGTTGTGAGACCTCACAGAGCCCTGTGGTCACGACCAAGAATTCCAAGACCACAATTCGCTTCTCTAAGTGAAGGGACATTCACAGCAATCATATGGACATTCACAAAATCATAAAAAATAGGGCCCTTCTTGGCAAACTAATCTGGGGCATGTTGGATATTGATCTGGAAAATGAGGGATGTAGTTCAATTGGCAGAGTGCTTGCCTAGCATGCAGGAAGGCTTATGTTTGAGACCTAACAACAGTAAATCGGGCATGGTGGTGCACACCTGTAATCTGAGCACTTGGAAGGCGGAAGCAAGGATGATCAGAGGCTCAAGTCTGCACCTGGAGTACATGAAACCTGGAACAGGGAATGGAATGTGTGCGTGTGTTGTGTGCGCACATGCATGTGCGGGTACATGAAACCTGGTATGGAGAACAGGAGTGGGGGGGGGCGCACGGGGATCGTAAACTATTAGGAGGCTGGCTAAAGCCCATCCTAAATCTAGTGTGATGACACACTTTTGAAGTCCCAGCTCCTTGGGAAGCTGAGGCAGAAGGATCACATGAGCTCTTAAGCTGAAGACTAGCCTGACAGAAGCAGACTTTCCATCTTAAGTGTGTGTGTGTGTGTGTGTGTGTGTGTGTGTGTGTGTGTGTGTGTAAATATAAATGGGTTTATGGCACTAGAATAGCTCTTGTTCGAATAAGCTGAAGATTATACGGAAGCTATTACCTTTCTTAGACACGTCTCTCTTGCCTTCTGTTCTGTTAGCCACCAACTAGGAAGGCGCCATGAGAGTAAAGAAGAGCCAACACAGCTGCTGAGCAGGAAGATTCCTTTATGGTGGTGAACGGATAACAGTTCTAGAGCAGGCCTCGGGAGGCAGAAAGGAGCAGCTCTAAGAAGGACCAATCCATTCCAGGGCTCACGGTAGGCAGATACACACCCAGAAATGACTGCCCACATACCTCCCCAAGGCTCCGCCCACCCATCAATTCAATCAATAACAATGTTGCTTTAATTCTTTTTTGGCCACTGACGATGAACTCCACCCCACCCCACAGGAGTTCAGCACAACAGTCTTTCCAGTCATGATCGATATGATGTCCAGGCTCTTGGTGAGAAACATTTGTTCATTTGGTTTCTCTTGCAAGAACCAGATTTTTTCCTTATGATCTATTGAAATATTTATATATATATTTATATATATATTTTAAAAAACACAACCAACAGTCCTTTTGGTGCTGTTTCCCTGGAAGGTTTCTCATGACCACCCTCTCCCCTCTAACAGACAGAGGGTTATATGTCTGGAAACAGAGAATAAGACACTCTGAGTAATAAAAATTCTAGTGTGACACTCAGAAGCAGGTTGGGACTCCAGGGCAAAGGGGGAGGTGTCGGGCTGACTAAGGAGTGGGGTGTAGCCTTCTAAGAAAGCCTCGAGGAGACAGAAGCATCAAGGAGCAGATATCCTGCTAGGGGAGACCTACTTCCTCCTGGATGCCCCAACTGCAGGGGCCACAAGCACCTGCATTTTTATGTCTCAAGTCCCTGCCCCTCTGCCCCTCTACATACACCAGTGGCTTGCACACGAAGCCAATGATCTCTGCCTAGAACAGGCTAGAATCAAAGACCAGAACTCACCCTGGGAAAGCCTGGTGGACCCCCACCCCAGGCTGCTTCAGGCAAGAGGAGGTTCAAACCAAAGCAGCCATCCAGAAAGCTCAGGAGCAGGAGGGGGAAGGGCGGGAAAGCCTCTGCCAAGCTTGGGGAGAATCAGCAAAGGTGACTCTGAACCTGGCTGCTTCATGTGGAAGACTGGCACCCAAGGCCACCTTATCCCTGTGCTGGGGACACAATGGGGTAAGTCTTCAGAGCAGAAGCAGCCTTAATCACTCCAAATTCCCTCTACATGGATATATGGAGATACAGGTAGATAGATTTATTATTTTTAACTGAAATAAATGTATTGGACTCAGTCCATTCCCCTTTACTGAGAGCTGCTCGGTCCTGTGCCCTGAGGTGGTTCATGCCTTCAGGTCGACAGCCAGGCTCACCTCCTGAGGGGAAGTGGCCCAGGGATGTGAAAGGAGAGCACACACACCACAACAGGTGACCAGGAGGCCTACCTCAGTGAGACTTCTGTTTCTAACCCTGAGAACCTAAGGAATTCTGAAGGAGTCGGAGAGGGAGCTGGGGTTAAAGGTCACCGGGCTTTTTATTGCAGTTGAAGCAGACTCGGACGGGATGGTCCCAGCCGCGAGAGGGGACAGCCCTCCGGTCGTGGGAGCACTCATCACAGAAGCCCTGTCCGCAAGCTCGGCAGTGGTGCTTGGAGAGCTTGACGCTGAACTCCTTCCGGCAGTTGTGGCAGTGCAGGATCTCATGGTCGGGCACCCAGTAGGCCGGCCTGGCAGCATCTTTCACCAGGCCTGAATCAGAGAAGGAACGTGAACAGTCAGGACACTGGAACCCTGCCCCAGGACAGTTTTTGGCTTGTCATCCCAACTGCACACAGGCACATTACTGTGCTGTGTTTTTTCAGTTTATTCTTCTTCATAATTTTTAAAAGATTATTTATTGTGTGTAAGTATTCTGTCTGCATGTATGGCTGCAGGCCAAAGAGGGCGCCAGATCTCATTATAGATGATTATGAGTCACCATGTGGTTGCTGGGAACTGAACTCAGGATCTCTGGAAGAGCAGCCAGTGCTCTCTCTTAACCCCTGAGTCATCTCGCCAGCCCTTATTCATGTATTTTATGAGACATGTAGCCCAGGGTGGCGTCAGACTCATTGTTGCTAGGATGACCCTGTACCTCTGATCCTCCTGCCTCCACTTCTCCAGTGCTAGGATTACAGGTACGCACCAATACACCCACGTTATGTAGTGCATTAGACCTAGGGCTGCAGGAATGCCACCCAAACACTCTACCAAGTGAGCCACACCTCAGCCCTGCTTTGTGTGGAAGCCAGATGTAACTTTGTAGTCTGTTCTCTTCTTCACCTTTATTTAGATGGATTCCAGGGCCCCAGGTGCCTTTAACAGCTGAATGATCTCACCACCAAGCCTGAGTTCAATCTCTAGGACTCACATGGTAGAAGGAGAAAGCCAACTCCTACAAGTTGTCCTCTGACCTACATATGTGTGCCATGGCACATGCATACAAGAGTGCGCATCTGCCACACAAACACAATAGGTAACTTTAAAAAAAAAAAATGTCAGGTTTCCACCCCTGACCACAGGACCTGTGGCTGAGGCACCATATTTCTCTATCTATTACACTCTCCAAGTGACACCAATGTGAAGCTGCACTCAGACCAATCGAAGGGACCACACAGAAACCTTGACTCTGTAGTCAGACATTCAGTCAAACCATAGCACCACTGAGCATGAACACTATGGGATTAAGCAAGGTGAGTTCACTTCTTAGGGGCTCACTCATCTTTAACAACCCCCTCTAAAGCTATCCTCAACAACCAGGAATCATATGCCTGTGCTGGAGAGTTGGCTCAGTGGTTAAGAACACTTGCAAGCCAGGGTGGTGCAAACCTTTAATCCCAGCAGTCGGAAGGCAGAGGCAGGCCTGAGTTCAAGGCCAGCGTAGTCTACAGAATGAATTTCAGGACAGCCAGGGCTATCCGGAGAAACCAATTCTCAACAAAACAAAACAAAACAAAAAACCAAAAACTCAGGGAAAACAAAACAGCACTTGTTGCTCTTGCAGTAAACTAAAAGAAAAAAACAAGAAAAACAAAGAAAACACTTGCCGAACTCAACCTGATGGCAGCAAGGGAACATCTGGTAAACAAATCACCCCAACAAGGGGGCAGCCTGTCCTCCCAGATGGCCAAGCCAGAGCAAATCCACCTCCTCTATACCACTGAGTCAAAAGCACAGGATATTTTCTGTGCTACCTATGTGAGTTTGATCTAGGCCAATTTTTATCCCTAGCAGCCCTGGTCTCTGGCCTCTCCCTTACCGAATATCAAAATACATCTCAGGCCTCACCTATCCTGCCAAGTCCTCCTCCACCCAGTACTGGCTTCTCCTCTCTTCTCCCCACTCTGGTGGTAAGTACCCCTCACAATGGGAGAGCAGAAATCTTTTGTTGTTGTTTTGGTTTTTGAGACAGGGTTTCTCTGTGTAGCCCTCGCTGTTCTGCTCCGTAGACCTTGAACTCACAGAGATCACCTGCCTCTGCCTCCTAAATTCTGGGATTTAAGGCTTGAGCCACCACACCGGGTGAGCAGGAATCTTAAACGCTGAGTTAGCAATAGCTTGGCCAATGAAATACCTCAGCAGGTAAAATACAGATCACAGAAGCATACTTCCCATCGCTTCAAATGTTAAAGTGTTAGTTGTTTCTACCTCCTCCTTTTTTCTTTCTTTCTTTTTTTTTCTTTTGTTGAGAAAGAACCCTACTATGTGTCCCTGCTTGGCCTAGAACATGCTATGTAGACCAAACTGGTCTCAAAGTCAGAGCCCCCCCTCACCTCTGCTAGTATCTCCAGATTGATGGGATTAAAAGCCTGTACCACTTCATACATTAGCTTGTTTTCTTTTTCTTTTTTTTAATTTTATTTATTTATTTATTTTTTCGTTTTTTTGAGACAGGGTTTCTCTGTGTAGCTCTTTGGAGCCTGTACTGGAACTCACTCTGTAGATCAGGCTGACCTCAAACTCAGAGATTCACCTGCCTCTGCCTCCCAAGTGCTGGGATTACAGTGCCACCACTGCCCGGCCAGTTTTTTTTTTTTAAGATTTATTTATTCATTTATATGTGCATGAGTCATGTGAATGTGGGTGACATGGAAGGCTCTGTGTGTCTATGTGTGCGTACACATGTACACAGACAAATGGAAGCCCCAAGAGAGTACAGTATTCCTTGGAACTGGAGTTCTAGGTGGATGTGAGTTGCCCAACACCGGTACTGGAACCTGAACACGGTCCTCCGTGAGGGCAGCAAGTGCTCTAAACCATGAAGCCAGTTCTCTAGCCCCAAAACACGAGCTCTTGAAACCCTGAGATACTCTGGAGGCTGGTCTTCTACCACGGACTCCATGGGGAAAGGCCCAGAGAACACACAGAAGTGGGGTGCTCCACTGAATACAGTTCCTAACTGTCCTCCTAAGTCAGCTTGGACCTTCCAAATCAATTCAGATGCTATCTGTAATCTTCAGACAGTGACTCCAGGCAATGACCCTGGGGGAATAAGCAGACTTTCTGACCATTGGATGTACACCACTTTACGACCAAGTAGCCTGGACCTGCCTTTATGTATATTAACAGGCGGTGGAAAGTCAGGCCTCC